CACAGAGACCCATAGAATCACATAGAGACCCATAGACTCACATAGAGACCCATATACTCACACATAGACCCATAGACTCACACAGAGACCCATAGACTCACACAGAGACCCTAGACTCACGCAGAAACCCATAGCCTCACACATAGACCCATAGACTCACACAGAGACTCACACAGAGACCCATATACTCACACATAGACCCATAGACTCGCACAGAGACCCATAGACTCACACAGAGACCCATAGACTCACATAGAGACCCATAGACTCACACCAAGAGCCATAGACTCACACAGAGACACATAGACTCACACAGAGACTCACACAGAGACCCATAGACTCACACTGAGACCCATAGACTCACACAGAGACCCATAGACTCACATAGAGAGCCATAGACTCACACAGAGACCCATAGACTCACATAGATAGCCATAGACTCACACAGAGACCCATAGACTCACACAGAGACCCATAGACTCACACAGAGACCCACAGACTCACATAGAGAGCCATAGACTCACACAGAGACCCACAGACTCACATAGAGACCCATAGACTCACACAGAGACCCATAAACTCACACAGAGACCCATATACTCACACATAGACCCATAGACTCACACAGAGACCCATAGACTCACACAGAGACCCATAGACTCACACATAAATCCATAGACTCACGCAGAGTCCCCTAGACTCACGCAGAAACCCATAGGCTCACACATAGACCCATAGACTCACACAGAGACTCACACAGAGACCCATAGAATCACATAGAGACCCATAGACTCACATAGAGACCCATAGACTCACACAGAGACCCATAGAATCACACAGAGACTCACACAGAGACCCATAGAATCACATAGAGACCCATAGACTCACATAGAGACCCATAGACTCACACAGAGACCCATAGACTCACAAAGAGACCCATAGACTCACACAGAGACCCATAAACTCACACAGAGACCCATATACTCACACATAGACCCATAGACTCACACAGAGACCCATAGACTCACACAGAGACCCATAGACTCACACAGAAATCCATAGACTCACGCAGAGACCCCTAGACTCACGCAGAAACCCATAGCCTCACACATAGACCCATAGACTCACACAGAGACTCACACAGAGACCCATATACTCACACATAGACCCATAGACTCGCACAGAGACCCATAGACTCACACCAAGAGCCATAGACTCACACAGAGACCCATAGACTCACACCAGGAGCCATAGACTTGCACAGAAACCCATAGACTCACGCAGAGACCCATAGACTCACACAGAGACCCATAGACTCACACCAAGAGCCATAGACTCACACAGAGACCCATAGAATCACACAGAGACTCACACAGAGACCCATAGAATCACATAGAGACCCATAGACTCACATAGAGACCCATATACTCACACATAGACCCATAGACTCACACAGAGACCCATAGACTCACACAGAGACCCCTAGACTCACGCAGAAACCCATAGCCTCACACATAGACCCATAGACTCACACAGAGACTCACACAGAGACCCATATACTCACACATAGACCCATAGACTCGCACAGAGACCCATAGACTCACACAGAGACCCATAGACTCACATAGAGACCCATAGACTCACACCAAGAGCCATAGACTCACACAGAGACACATAGACTCACACAGAGACTCACACAGAGACCCATAGACTCACACTGAGACCCATAGACTCACACAGAGACCCATAGACTCACATAGAGAGCCATAGACTCACACAGAGACCCATAGACTCACATAGATAGCCATAGACTCACACAGAGACCCATAGACTCACACAGAGACCCATAGACTCACACAGAGACCCACAGACTCACATAGAGAGCCATAGACTCACACAGAGACCCACAGACTCACATAGAGACCCATAGACTCACACAGAGACCCATAAACTCACACAGAGACCCATATACTCACACATAGACCCATAGACTCACACAGAGACCCATAGACTCACACAGAGACCCATAGACTCACACATAAATCCATAGACTCACGCAGAGTCCCCTAGACTCACGCAGAAACCCATAGGCTCACACATAGACCCATAGACTCACACAGAGACTCACACAGAGACCCATATACTCACACATAGACCCATAGACTCGCACAGAGACCCATAGACTCACGCAGAGACCCATAGACTCACATAGAGACCCATAGACTCACACCAAGAGCCATAGACTCACACAGAGACACATAGACTCACACAGAGACTCACACAGAGACCCATAGACTCACACTGAGACCCATAGACTCACACAGAGACCCATAGACTCACATAGATAGCCATAGACTCACACAGAGGCCCATAGACTCACACAGAGACCCATAGACTCACACAGAGACCCATAGACTCACATAGAGAGCCATAGACTCACACAGAGACCCATAGACTCACATAGATAGCCATAGACTCACATAGAGACCCATAGACTCACGCAGAGACCCATAGACTCACACAGAGACCCATAGACTCACACCAAGAGCCATAGACTCACACAGAGCCCATATACTCGCATAGAGAGCCATAGACTCACACAGAGAGCCATAGACTCACACAGAGACCCATAGACTCACCCAGAGAGCCATAGACTCACACAGAGACCCATAGACTCACACAGAAACCCATAGACTCACACCAAGAGCCATAGACCCACACAGAGACACATAGTCTCACGTAGAGAGCCATAGACTCACACAGAGACCCATAGACTCACACCAAGAGCCATAGACTCACACAGAGACCCATAGACTCACACAGAGACATAGACTCACACAATTACTCACACAGAGAGCCATAGACTCACACAGAGACCCATAGACTCACATAGAGACCCATTGACTCACACAGAGACCCATAGACTCACACCAAGAGCCACAGACTCACACAGAGACCCATTGACTCATGTAGAGATGCATGTGTTCACACACGTGTGTGTACGTGTTCACACGCGTGTGTGTATGTGTTGACGTGTGTATGTTAACGTGTGTGAATGTGTTGACGTGTGTATGTTAATGTGTGTGAATGTGTTAACGTGTGTATGTTAACATGTTTGAATGTGTTGACGTGTGTATGTTAACATGTGTGTACGTGTTCACGTGTGTATGTGTTCACGTGTGTATGTTGACGTGTGTGAATGTGTTAACGTGTGTGAATGTGTTAACGTGTGTATGTTGACGTGTGTGAATGTGTTCATGTGTGTATGTTAACGTGCGTGTGAATGTGTTCACGTGTGTATGTTAACATGTGTGTACGTGTTGACGTGTGTATGTTAACATGTGTGTACGTGTTCACGTGTGTATGTGTTCACGTGTGTATGTTGACGTGTGTGAATGTGTTAACGTGTGCATGTTAACGTGTGTGAATGTGTTCACGTGTGTATGTTAACGTGCGTGTGAATGTGTTCACGTGTGTATATTAGCGTGCATGTGTGTGTGTTCACGTGTGTATATGAACGTGCGTGTGTACAGTGAGGGAAAAAAGTATTTGATCCCCTGCTGATTTTGTACGTTTGCCCACTGACAAAGAAATGATCAGTCTATAATTTTAATGGTAGGTTTATTTGAACAGTGAGAGACAGAACAACAACAAAAAAATCCAGAAAAACGCATGTCAAAAATCTTATAAATTGATTTGCATTTTAATGAGGGAAATAAGTATTTGACCCCCTCTCAATCAGAAAGATTTCTGTCTCCCAGGTGTCTTTTATACAGGTAACGAGCTGAGATTAGGAGCACATTCTTAAAGGGAGTGCTCCTAATCTCAGCTTGTTACCTGTATAAAAGACACCTGTCCACAGAAGCAATCAATCAGATTCCAAACTCTCCACCATGGCCAAGACCAAAGAGCTCTCCAAGGATGTCAGGGACAAGATTGTAGACCTGCACAAGGCTGGAATGGGCTACAAGACCATTGCCAAGCAGCTTGGTGAGAAGGTGACAACAGTTGGTGCGATTATTCGCAAATGGAAGAAACACAAAAGAACTGTCAATCTCCCTCGGCCTGGGGCTCCATGCAAGATCTCATCTCGTGGAGTTGCTATGATCATGAGAACGGTGAGGAATCAGCCCAGAACTACACGGGAGGATCTTGTCAGTGATCTCAAGGCAGCTGGGACCAGTCACCAAGAAAACAATTTGTAACACTACGCCGTGAAGGACTGAAATCCTGCAGCGCCCGCAAGGTCCCCCTACTCAAGAAAGCACATATACATGCCCGTCTGAAGTTTGCCAATGAACATCTGAATGATTCAGAGGACAACTGGGTGAAAGTGTTGTGGTCAGATGAGACCAAAATGGAGCTCTTTGGCATCAACTTAACTCACCGGCTTTGGAGGAGGAGGAATGCTGCCTATGACCCCAAGAACACCATCCCCACCGTCAAACATGGAGGTGTAAACATTATGCTTTGGGGGTGTTTTTCTGCTAAGGGGACAGGACAACTTCACCGCATCAAAGGGACGATGGACGGGGCCATGTACCGTCAAATCTTGGGTGAGAACCTCCTTCCCTCAGCCAGGGCATTAACAATGGGTCGTGGATGGGTATTCCAGCATGACAATGACCCAAAACACACAGCCAAGGCAACAAAGGAGTGGCTCAAGAAGAAGCACATTAAGGTCCTGGAGTGGCCTAGCCAGTCTCCAGACCTTAATCCCATAGAAAATCTGTGGAGGGAGTTGAAGGTTCGAGTTGCCAAACGTCAGCCTCGAAACCTTAATGACTTGTTGAAGATCTGCAAAGAGGAGTGGGACAAAATCCCTCCTGAGATGTGTGCAAACCTGGTGGCCAACTACAAGAAACGTCTGACCTCTGTGATTGCCAACAAGGGGTTTGCCACCAAGTACTAAGTCATGTTTTGCAGAGGGGTCAAATCCTTATTTCCCTCATTAAAATGCAAATGAATTCATAACATTCTTGATATGCGTTTTTCTGGATTTTGTTGTTGTTATTCTGTCTCTCACTGTTCAAATAAACCTACCATTAAAATTATAGACTGATCATTTCTTTGTCAGTGGGCAAACGTACAAAATCAGCAGGGGATCAAATACTTTTTCCCCTCACTGTATGCGTTCACGTGTGTATATGAACTTGTGTGTGTGTTCACGTGTGTACGTGTGTTTGTTAACGTGCGTGTGTGTGTTCACGTGTGTATGTTAACATGTGTGAACGTGTTCACGTGTGTATGTTAACGTGCGTGTGTATGTGTTGACGTGTGTATGTTAACGTGTGCGTGTGTGTTCACGTGTGTATGTTAACGTGCGTGTGTGTGTTCACGTGTGTATGTTAACATGTGTGAACGTGTTCACGTGTGTATGTTAACGTGCGTGTGTATGTGTTGACGTGTGTATGTTAACGTGTGCGTGTGTTCACGTGTGTATGTTAACGTGTGCGTGTGTGTTCACGTGTGTATGTTAACGTGCGTGTGTATGTGTTGACGTGTGTGTGTGAACGTGGGCGTGTGTGTTGACGTGTGTATGTTAACGTGCGTGTGTGTTCACGTGTGTATGTTAACATGTGTGAACGTGTTCACGTGTGTATGTTAACGTGCGTGTGTATGTGTTGACGTGTGTGTGTGTGAACGTGTGCGTGTGTGTTGACGTGTGTATGTTAACGTGTGTGTGTGTTCACGTGTGTATGTTAACGTGTGTGTTCACGTGTGTATGTGAACGTGTGTGTGTGTTCACGTGTGTATGTTAACATGTGTATGTGTTGACGTGTGTATGTTAACGTGCGTGTGTATGTGTTGACGTGTGTGTGTGTGAACGTGTGCGTGTGTGTTGACGTGTGTATGTTAACGTGTGTGTGTGTTCACGTGTGTATGTTAACGTGTGTGTTGACGTGTGTATGTGAACGTGTGTGTGCGTGCGTGTACAGGCCCGTGAACGTCTTCATCAGTGCCAACAGACTCATCCACCAGACCAACGCCATCCTGCAGACCTTCAGGGGTCTCCCCTCACCCTAGCAGACCCTCACCCTCACCCACCCCCTCACCCAGCCCCTCACCCACCCCCTCACCCACCCCCTCACCCACCCCCTCACCCAGCCCCTCACCCACCCCCTCACCCACCCCCTCACCCACCCCCTCACACACCCACTCAGTCATCCCCTCACCCACCCCCTCACCCACCCCCTCACCCACCCACTCAGTCATCCCCTCACCCACCCCCTCACCCACCCCCTCACCCACCCCCTCACCCACCCCCTCAATCACCCCTCAATCACCCCCTCACCCACCCCCTCACCCACCCCCTCACCCACCCCCTCACCCACCCCCTCAATCACCCCTCAATCACCCCCTCAATCACTCCCACACCCACCCCCTCAATCACCCCCTCAATCACCCCCTCAATCACCCCCTCAATCACCCCCTCAATCACCCCCTCAATCACCCCCTCAATCACTATCGCTCCCCAGACACACACACACGCAGACACACACACGCAGACACACACACTCACACACACAGACACACACACACTCACACATACACACATACACACAGACACACACTCACACACACACAGACACACACACACAACAACAACCGCCATTCGCTACTAAGTGGCGGTGACGTCACCACGACGCTTGTGCCAGGCCATGTGCACCTTGAGGCCACGTGAAGTGTCGAACGCCCGCTGGCAGGAGGTCACGGGGCAGACCCAGGTGCCACGGGTCGACTGACTGAGATGGCTGGCTTATGCACCACCTGTGCCCTTACTGTGCCAACCTGCTGTGCTTTAGCCACCCGGCGCTCCGCTCGTTGTTGTGAGCGTCGCTCCTCCGCCCTCCGTTGTTGATGGAGGGCGACTGCCTCCAACTGCCCAGTAGCGTCCTTCACGAGCCTCTTCCACAGAGGGCGATCTTGACACCGCTGGTACTGGTCATCGGCAAGTCCACTCAGCTCCACGTCCTCCTGTACCACGTCACTCCATCTCCTCTCTAGCCTGTGCCGCGCCCGTTTAGCCCCCTCGATCCGGCCGAACAAAAGCTGTTTCGGCATGCGGTGGCTGGGCATGCGGGCTACATGACCCAGCCAACGCAGCCTTGCCTACCGGAGGAGCTCACCAATGGGAACTTGCCCAGATCTTTCAAGGATTTATGAGCTCACACAATCCAGCCTCGTTAAACCCAGGATGGATCGTAGACAGGCCAGCCTAAATGCTTCTAACCGGCGAAGATGTTTCATTAGGGGGGGTCCACGTTTCGCAAAGCGTAGAGAAGGGAGGGAATGACCGTGGCCGAGAAGACCTGAAGCTTAGTGCGGAGCGACAGACCAGGTAGCTTCCACACAGCGTTACGCAACCGATGAAAAGATATTGCCGCTCGACTGATTCGGAGTGAGACCTCTGCTGTTAAACTGGAGCCAGTCATAAGCACACTGCCCAGGTATGGGAAACTCTCCACTCTCTCCACAACTGCCCCATCACCGATTGGGAGTTGTGGGGGTGGAGTGTCCGATGGTACAAAATTCCCAGGCAGGTACTTAGTTTTGGTGGGGCTGATGGTAAGGCCCCACCTCTTAGTGGCAAGCTCCAGTTTCAGCAGCAGCGTCTCCAACTCGTCCTCTGAATGAGCAGCTATTACCTTCACAGGTGCTGCTCGCTATCAGCACTTGCCCCTACAGCCTGTTGAGGCTATACGGGGGATCTTTGTCCGTGTGCGCGTTTGATGTCTCACGGCGCGCGTGTGACTTCCAGCGGAGCGTGTGTACATTGCCAATGGTAACGGTTGCAATTTTACCGAAAATAAATCCGAGGTTTAACAGTTAAAGGTGTTCCCGTGACTGGATTAAAGCCAGCCAAGGAAAAAAATCCCCCCCGTGTAGCCTCTAACAAGGCAGTAGGGGCAAGTGCTGTTAGCGAGTAGCAGCAGCAGCTATACACAAAGATCCCCCGTGTAGTCTCTAACAAGGCTGTAGGGGCAAGTGCTGTTAGCGAGTAGCAGCAGCACCTACACACAGACAAAGGTCCCCTGTGTAGCCTCTAACAAGGCAGTAGGGGCAAGTGCTGTTAGCGAGTAGCAGCAGCACCTACACACAGACAAAGATCCCCTGTGTAGCCTCTAACAGGCTGTAGGGGCAAGTGCTGTTAGCGAGTAGCAGCACCTATACACAGACAAAGGTCCCCCGTGTAGCCTCTAACAAGGCAGTAGGGGCAAGTGATGTTAGCGAATAGCAGCAGCACCTATACACAGACAAAGGTCCCCCGTGTAGCCTCTAACAAGGCAGTAGGGGCAAGTGATGTTAGCGAGTAGCAGCAGCACCTATACACAGACAAAGGTCCCCCGTGTAGCCTCTAACAAGGCAGTAGGGGCAAGTGATGTTAGCGAGTAGCAGCAGCACCTATACACAGACAAAGATCCCCCGTGTAGCCTCTATAAGGCAGTAGGGGCAAGTGCTGTTAGCGAGTAGCAGCAGCACCTATACACAGACAAAGGTCCCCCGTGTAGCCTCTAACAGGCTGTAGGGGCAAGTGCTGTTAGCGAGTAGCAGCAGCACCTATACACAGACAAAGATCCCCCGTGTAGCCTCTAACAAGGCAGTAGGGGCAAGTGCTGTTAGCGAGTAGCAGCAGCACCTATACACAGACAAAGATCCCCCGTGTAGCCTCAAACAGGCTATAGGGGCAAGTGCTGTTAGCGAGCAGCACCTATACACAGACAAAGATCCCCCGTGTAGCCTCAAACAGGCTATAGGGGCAAGTGCTGTTAGCGAGCAGCACCTATACACAGACAAAGATCCCCCGTGTAGCCTCAAACAGGCTATAGGGGCAAGTGCTGTTAGCGAGCAGCACCTATACACAGACAAAGATCCCCCGTGTAGCCTCAAACAGGCTATAGGGGCAAGTGCTGTTAGCGAGCAGCACCTATACACAGACAAAGGTCCCCCGTGTAGCCTCTAACAGGCTGTAGGGGCAAGTGCTGTTAGCGAGCAGCGCCTGTGAAGGCTACCGGCGCTGTGGCACACGAGGGGGCTGGGTGGCCGGAACCACCACGCCCGGCCGCCTTTGTCTCCCCAGCGGCGATGTTTGCTGCACACAGCACCAGGTACTCATTTGAGGCTGAGTCGACCTAGGGGAGGCCCAAGACCGGTTCAGGATAATCGTCACCGGGTGTGTTGGTTGCCGTGAGCGGGAATCGAACCCGGGTCGCCGGGTTCGTAGCGCAAGCGTAGCGCTAACCGCTGCACCACCGCTCCCCATCACAATCACCACCTTCACTATCACCACCACCACTTTAACCATCATCACCATCACCACCACCTTCACCACCACCTTCACCACCACGTTCACCACCATCACCACAATCACCACTTTCACCATCATCACCACCACCATCATCACCACCACCACCACCTTCACCATCACTACCACCTTCACCATCATCACCACCTTCACCATCATCACCACCACCTTCACCATCATCACCACCACCACCTTCACCATCACCACCACAACCACCTTCACCATCATCACCACCACCTTCACCATTATCACCACCACCACCTTCATCATCAACAACACCACCTTCACCACCACCATCATCACCACCACCTTCATCATCACCACCACCACCTTCATCATCACCAGCACCACCATCATCACCACCTTTATCACCATCATCACCACCACCATCACCTTCACCATCATCACCACCACCATCACCTTCATCATCACCACCACCTTCACCATCATCACCACCTTCATCACCATCATCACCACCACCACCTTCACCATCATCACCACCACCACCATCACCACCACCTTTATCACCACCTTCACCACCATCATCACCACCATCACCTTCACCATCATCACCACCACCACCATCGTCAACACCACCACCTTCACCACCACCACCTTCACCACCACCTTCACCACCACCACCTTCACTATCACCACCTTCACCACCACTTTCACCACCAACAGCAACCGCCATTCGCCACTAAGTGGCGGTGACGTCACCACGACGCTTGTGCCAGGACATGTGCACCTTGAGGCCACGTGAAGTGTCGAACGCCCGCTGGCAGGTCACGGGGCAGACCCAGGTGCCACGGGTCGACTGACTGAGATGACTGGCTGATGCACCACCTGTGCCCCCTACTGTGCCAACCTGCTGTGCTTTAGTCACCCGGCGCTCTGCTCGTTGTTGTGAGCGTCGCTCCTCCGCCCTCCGTTGTTGTTGGAGGGCGACTGCCTCCAACTGCCCAGTAGCGTCCTTCACGAGCCTCCTCCACAGAGGCCGATCTTGACACCGCTGGTACCAGTCATCGGCAAGTCCACTCAGGGGTAGTGGTAGCGGCAGGGGTAGTGGCAGGGGTAGTGGCAGGGGTTGTGGCAGGGGTAGTGGCAGGGGTAGTGGCAGGGGTAGTGGCAGGGGTAGTGGCAGGGGTAGTGGTAGCGGCAGGGGTAGTGGTGGTGGTAGTGGTGGTGGTAGTGGCAGGGGTAGCGGCAGAGGTAGTGGTGGTGGTAGTGGCAGGGGTAGTGGCAGGGGTAGCAGCAGGGGTAGTGGCAGGGGTAGTGGCAGGGGTAGTGGCAGGGGTAGTGGTAGTGGCAGTGGTAGGGGTAGTGGCAGGGGTAGCGGCAGGGGTAGTGGCAGGGGTAGTGGTAGGGGTAGTGGTAGTGGCAGGGGTAGTGACAGAGGTAGTGGCAGGGGTAGTGGTAGTGGCAGTGGTAGGGGTAGTGGCAGGGGTAGCGGCAAGGGTAGTGGCAGGGGTAGCGGCAGGGGTAGTGGTAGGGGTAGTGGCAGGGGTAGCGGCAAGGGTAGTGGCAGGGGTAGTGGCAGGGGTAGTGGTAGGGGTAGTGGCAGGGGTAGTGGCAGGGGTAGTGGCAGGGGTAGTGGTAGCGGCAGGGGTAGTGGCAGGGGTAGTGGTAGGGGTAGTGGCAGGGGTAGTGGCAGGGGTAGTGGCAGGGGTAGGGGTAGTGGCAGGGGTAGTGGTAGGGGTAGCGGCAGGGGTAGTGGTAGTGGCAGGGGTAGCGGCAGGGGTAGTGGTAGGGGTAGCGGCAGGGGTAGTGGCA